CCTTTTCCACTGCGTTTACTCTAGTTATTCATTTCCATCGATTATAAATTAAACACTGCGAAGGTCATTCCAATAAAAACAATGGGGAGTATCCTAATATTGCACTATAAATGTAAGCAAAACGATGAAAACACAAAAGAAGTAAACATAATGACTAGATTTAACACAAAGTTATAGGAACTTACCTCACAGATGTTACGTATAAATTACACATGTACAAACCACGTCGAACACATAGATAAAGTCCCCTTTTGGACTTCCAAAGGAAAACATTCATGTTTCTCATCGATTTTGGGCTCCCTGCTGCTTCGGCAATAGGTTCGTCCTCCATATTCACTAAGATCATCATCTTTATTGTCTTACTCACCCTGCCTCTGGATATAGGTCACAAACAAATACTTTCCACCTTTTGTTATACATGTACTGAGTGAGTTAGCCTCTTGCCTAGTTTCCAAGGCAGTTAACTTTGTTCGCTGTGAGGTGAAGCTTGTTGAAATTATCTCCATCGTCGATGATGTGCCTGTCAATAACTGTGGTAAACTGCTGTCTGCATTTCTCAAAATTCTCAATGGCGAGGTGATGCATTCCATTCCAAGTGCCAGCACATGCGCACAGATGGCTTATGAACTTGGAGTGTTGTCTACCCTCCAACTGATGGAGAGCATGATAACACAGAAAGCACTTTAAAAATTATACAAATTAGATTCAAAGTTATAACACTGTTGATAAAATATTTTAAAAATTAAAACGATTACATTAAACAATGGGCATACTTATCATTCATTTGCTATAAGATTCCTCGATTACAGTAAACAATGAACAGCGGGAGCCGACCGTGACCTCTGACATCACAGCCCAGCTGAGCCGAGATTTCTGGGCTCAGAAGCGCTATTCTTTTCTAGTTCTAAATTTTTGTCGCTAAAAGGGTAAGACTCCAGCGGCCAAGGTAAAAGTTCTAAACAACAATTTCAGCGTAGTCTGATAGTTCAATACTCTAGTAACCAACAAGGGTAGTCTAAAAAAAAATGGCAGGAATTTTTTTATATTAAAAATCCAAAGTTAAAACTTACCTTATTTTCAACTTGCAAATTTCCTAGCAGTCAAAGCACTCACAAAAAAATAGCAGACACCGTTGCAAAGTACGATTCAACATTTTAAAAACGCTCTGGTTCGTTTTGCGCTTGCCGTCGGTGCGTTCACTGAAGTGCCTATAAAAACTTTTCTTCATAAATTTATATGAAGTACTATAAATCTTCGTCATGGGGAAACTATGATTGTTAACAACACTTTCTGCTTCTCACACACATTTTTGTATACGTATGTGGCCTACGTCACAGCTCACCAATGGCGCTTTTTAGTAACAAAACTTGTTACAAGAAATGCATTTTATAGTGAACGCTTTTTTTTTGCACTAAAGGTTCTCACACATGCATTCAATAAGCATAATACATGTATCACGATTATTTTAAAAAAGACCCTCAGATTTGCTTTTAAAAGCGATATCCCCCCCCCCCCCCCCAGCTGTAAACCTTTTAAAATCAGTAGAAACCACTCACTTGCATTTTTTATTAGTATCTTAAAAGGAATTTTCTAGAATGCAGCTAAAAAGGTGTTTACCAAAAATTGATCTGTTAAGATAAATTGATACAAGCACAAGTCATTGAGCAAAACCTGGGTAGCTCATGTTCAATAGCTGAGGAGATAATTTGGCAATACGTTGCGCCACATATTTGTGACCGCACTATAACTTCACGACTCTTCGACATCCTCCTACGGATCAGATGCCCACTATACTGCACATCATGATCAGATCCTTGCGGGACGGCGTGAAGGCAATCATCCAATAAGTGGGAGGTGTGTCCGAATCCTGTGACATCAAGAGTGGTGTGGAGCAAAGAAGCGTTCAAGCTCCAAAACTCTTCAGCGTTCTCTTGTCACAGCTTCGGAAACATGATTTTGGAACCACAACCTAAGGAATATGCTCAAGATCAGACAGCAGACTCTACGACATCGCAAGACAGAAAGCAAAAACCCAAGTTGCGCTAGACCGTTGCAGTCAACTTACATAATAAGTAAAGCGACCTACTGTGTTGCGTGGTCAGCGTGGACTTCTCTCCGACAATATGTAGAAGTTTGAAGAAATCCCACTCTCCACTTGTCATCACGACCAACAGGAACGAGCTGGATGCAGCACACCAGTTCACGTATCTTGGATCTGCCATCAGCGACAGCTTGTGCCCAGATACATGGTATTGTACTGAAATCAGCGATCGAATCGGTAAGGCAGGAACAACTCTGTGACCACTGACCACACACATCTGGGAGAACCCCAAGCCGGCCACCACTAGCAAGATTGCAGTACGACAATAACAATGAAATACGGCAACTGTTGGGTTCGTATGCAACACCTGTGTCGCCAACACCCTCCAATACGGGAGGGAAATCTAGACAAGGTTTACCAGACAAGAGAAACTGTTGTCATAATTTTATATGAGGCTTTCGTCGCATGCTTGACATCAGCTGGCGAGACAGTGCCCAACATCCAAATCTTCTTCTGCGCTGACCTCTCCACCATGTATACGCTACCCAGACTATGAAGACTGTCCTGACCCGGCAACCTATGCTGTACGGAAAGGCAAGACTCGAACTCCAAAAGACATTCTTTACAGAGAAGTGGTCGCCAGCAAAAGACCCCAAGAATGCTCTCAGCTGCAGCATAAAGACGTAAGAAAACTCGACATGAAAGCTCCAAACAATAACACAGAAAGCTGGAACTGGGAGGAGACTGCTACTAATCTCAGTTTACGGCGCAATATCCAAGGTTGACAACTGACATGTGTTTGTGTGTGTGTGTGTGTGTGTGTGTGTGTGTGTGTATTTGTGTGTGTGTGTGTGTGTGTGTATTTGTGTGTGTGTGTGTGTGTGTGTGTGTGTGTGTGTGTGTGGATAGATAGATAGTTAGCTAGCTACCTAGCTAGCTAGCTAGATAGATAGATAGATAGAAAGATAGATAGATAGATAGACATATAGATAGGCAGTAGACAAACAGATAGATAGCTAAATAGAAAGACAGATAGATACCTAGATAGATAGAGAGATAGATAGATAGTAGATAGATAGTAGATAGGTAGATAGATAGATAGATAGATTGATAGATAGATAGATAGATAGATAGATAGATAGATAGATAGATAGATAGATAGATAGATAGATAGAGAGAGAGAGAGGGGCAGACAGACAGACAGACAGACAGACAGACAGACAGACAGACAGACAGAGAGAAAGAGAGAGAGAGAGAGAGAGAGAGAGAGAGAGAGAGAGAGAGAGAGAGAGAGAGAGAGAGAGAGAGAGAGAGAGAGAGAGAGAGAGTTGTTTAGAAATGACTTTGTGATTTATTGATTGTACAGCCTGACTGAGGTACACGCATTCAAACTTTCCACAGTAGTTCAACATTCAAAAACGTATTTTTAGATTGTTAACGACTTTTTGAAAAAGCAGTGTTCATTGTAAAGAAAGAAAAACGTTTTTAAAGTCATTTGCTACTTTTTTAGGGGTAAAAACTATTTCTCTCTGTCTCTTTTACCCTAGTACAGATAATGGCTGCCATGAAGGGCTCTACCTCCAGCTACGCGAGTCCCATCTGTCTGAGTTTTCTCCTCCCTAAGGTAATGCAAACATCGATCTGACATTCCATGCTGCTATCTATTATACATTGTATCTTGTTTGACAGAAGATACGAATTATAGGTTAAAAATCATAGGTACCGGTACTGGGAGCATAAAGGTTGAATCAAATTGGAATATAATAGATCTAATACTTTCACAGACATGAGAAAGAGGTTAAAACAGCACAAAGATATGGATGGCTGGTGCCTTTGTAAATAAATTATTGATGGTCTGGTCTGGTTTGGCAGAAGCCTAGATCTAGTTCAATTAAGGACTTCTTGTCGACTTTCATCCTCAGATTTCATGTTATCTTCCCTGTGTGGCTGTCTACGTCTCCAAAGATTTGTGACTGGTTGTTCCCTCTTCTTGACGTTTATTTATCCTCAGAGTTGTTTATAGAGTGGGGATTCTAGCTCTTCGACCAACTCCCAAATTGGTGGACCAGGTATATCTTCCTCGGGGGGCACTTCATTCTTACCATTTTGTCGCCTCTTATGGCCTATCAGCCTCACGTCAGCCCTATTCTTCTCAGTAGCCGGAATTGCAAGGCAGAACAAAATATGCCGGTATGCTAAAAGAAAACAACAACAACTGTCGCACTGTAAGCCTACACGTGTCTTCAAATTGATTTTGACAACGGATGACTAGCCATATTTGGACACATCAAATTGCCTAACAAAGCTCTTGTCACTCTCTCTCTCTCTCTCTCTCTCTCTCTCTCTCTCTCTCTC